GGCTGTACCTCGGGAGATCCCATATTGCATATTTACTTTTGGGACTACGAGGCGGTACCTCGGAAGATCCCCTGTTGCATATTTACTTTTGGGACTACGAGGCGGTACCTCGGGAGCGCCCCTATTGTTTACCTCTATTTGTCGTGTTGTTACTTTTATAAAATTTCTCGTTGTTCATTTCTCAGTCATTTTATTGTATTATTATATCTTTTGCCTTGCTTTTCGTTTAAACTAGTAGGGCCCTGACCTAACCTCGTCACTACTCTACCGAGGTTAGGCTTGGCACTTACTGGATACCGTTGTGGTATACTCATACTACACTTCTGCACATCTTTTTGTGCAGATCCAGGTTCTTCCTACCAGACCAGATACTAGTGAGCTGGACCGTACATGGAAACTTCAAGGTATATTTGCCAGCGTTCGCAGACCTCAGAGTCCCCCCTCCATCCTTATTATGTTGCTTCCTTATTATTATTTTCTCTTAGAAGCTTGTGACTTATTTTTACCGGACTTTAGGAGTTGTAATTATTTAAATCGCAGATCTTGTTATATTTCATATGTTGAGATTTGAGTTCAGTCTTATATTCAGTTATTCCGCAAATTGTTAGGCTTACCTAGTCTTAAAGACTATGTGTCATCACGACATCCTACGAAGAGAAACTAGGGTTGTGACAATGGCAATCCTAGTCTAAGGCCTCATTTGTTTTTTTTAAGATTAAGACGTTTGAATCTGAATACACACCTGAATATCAAGATGTGTATTAAGATTAAGACATTTGAATACACATCTGAATACTAAGATATGTATTAAGATATGAATACTAAATGATTAAGATTGTTTGATTTTTAATATCTGAATGTATAAAATCTTTATTTGAAAATTAATAAACATAAAATACTAATTAATCTAATATTCTATCAATAATATATATATATTTTTAAAAAATACGATAGTTGCTGGTGGTGATGGCTAACGGTGATGTTTGTGAATGCCAACTAAAGGCGGTGGTTGGTGGTAGTTTTGGTTGATGGTGGTGGTTCAGGGTAGTAGCTAATGGTGATTAATAGTGGTGTCGATTATGATTGAGGATGGTGGTGGTAGTTAATAAGGGCATGGTGGTGGTGGTAGTTTACAATGATGGGCAGTCCGATTATGGTTATTGATGGTGATGGAGTGGTTAGTTGTGGTAGTTGAGGTGGATGAGTGTTGGTTGTGGTTGAGAATGATGGTGGTGGGAGGGGTGGGGATGATGAAATGAGGTAGCAGATAATGGTTGCGGCTATGATTGAGGATGATGGTGGTAGTGATGGTGGTGGCATGATGGTAATTGATAATGGTAGGCGATGGCGGCAATTAATAATGAATATAAATGATAGCATCTTAATGAATTAAGTCTCTATTATAGATCTTAATCATACGGGTCTATTCAGACCCAATAAGTGATTATGAAATAAAAAAAAATAAACACACTTAATGATTAAGATCTGAATAATTAAAATTTAAATTTTAAAAACAAACGCATTTAATATGTAAGATCTGAATGACTAAGATTCAGACATCAATTAAGGCGACAATCACTCACTCTCTGTGAGGGAGTTGGAGAGATTGTCAAAAAAAAAATTAAAAAAATCCAATAGTCAAGGTCTTCGTAAAAGTTGACACGTCTTGTAATGGATGAAAGTGCGATGTAGGTGATTAGTACTCCTGAATGCTTACAAACGGTTGATTTCTTCTGACTTGTTAGGAGAAAGCGAACAAGCGCACACAACTGAAACTGCGTGAAGGGACCAAAAAGGAAGAGTCATCAGACATGTCATCACAGTCAGCACACGACTACGCCGCTGACGGCGGGGCTGCGGTGACTCCGCCGTTGGACGACGATGGCTACGAGGTGGTCAAGGGTGCAGGTGAAGACTCGGGGAACCATTATTTTGGTTCGCAGCCGATGATGTCTGATGAAGCTGATCAGTCGTCCACCGGAGAAAGTGGACCGATTCTCCCTCCGCCGGAACGTATGGTGGCGGAAGAGGGCTTTGCCCTCAAAGAGTGGCGGCGGTGAGCAAAAATTTTCTGCATGCAACAAAATATATGTATATATGTATATGTAGTATAGTATGATTTAATTGATTTATATTCGTATAAAATGATTTTTTACTTCGGCGGTTACTCCAAGAAACATATTTAGTGGATAGATTTAATTGATTTATATTCGTATAACATGATTTTTTACTTCGGCGGTTACTCCAAGAAATCTATCCACTAAATATGTTTTTAGTTTGAGTTGGACTCATCATAACTGCTTGCGGTGTTTCTTGCCAAGTAATTAAATAGAGTACTGTCTTTCTTTTTCCCTTTTCTCTCTGAAACAAAATATTTGTAGTAGTTTATAGAACCCATGAAAAGTTCAATTCTCATTTTGTTTGTTTTTGTTTAGCAAAAGTACTGCTTTAAAATGGTTTTAATTTTTATTAAGTTCACTACTTCTTTAACAAGGAAGCGAATCTTTGTCCAACACTAGTACTTCCCTTAGCTCGAGCAATTAGTTGGGGTCCGTGGGAATAGTGAATTGGAATTGATGTTGTCAACCCCCCTAACATAAATTCGTTGAAGAAGAAAATTCTGCTAATACTTTTTGGAGGCCTTTGATACTGTGATAAATGAAAAGTTGATTACATGGTCTCTGACTCGAGTTAGTGTGTGGCCCGAAGATAAATTAGTTGACAAAGAAAATTCTGATTATACTTTGAGGCAGCCTGTGATATTTATTAATAACTAAGTTGTTGATGAAATAATCTAGCCATGTCATAATTAAAGATGGATCCAAGACTTTAAGCTGGTGGGTGTGCAGTACCAGCTACTTGATTTTGGCAATAGGTTCGAACTTAGTATAGATATGTGTTCTTTTGGACGGACATAGCTTATAAATTATGGGTTCACGAGAACTCAGAAGCTTTTGTCCGAACTATCTATTTAATAAGAAATCTATTAAATATAGATAAATATTTGATTGTGAATCTAATTATTATTTTATATTAACTTGAGGTCGCTGTAGGAACCCGTAAACTTCAAATCCTCTGCCTTTGAGATTAGTCCATGGTGGTAGTTGAATTGAGTTTGCCTTCTAAAGCTTTGAGGAAAATTTGCAATTCTCTCTATCCTTTTGAAATGCTTTGAAGCTGATACATAGTAGAATATTTAGTAATTCATTGTTAATATGATGTGCACTTGTATTTCTGTTTACAGCATGAAGCTTCTTTACTCATGTGTCAACGTGCTCCCTTTTCTTGATAACATTGTGTGTAGATTGTGTTTATCGTGCAGCTTCACATAGATTCTGTAGTTGAGAATATCTCAGCGTATACTTATGATGCTTTTTCCCCCCTTCATGTTTAGCTTATATCTTATGATGCTTTCAAATCTCACAATTTACTTTTGTGTGATGATTGCAGCCTCATTCACGTCCTTGCTCATTCCTTATGTTGTATATATTTGAGATGAAAATCACATGATTACATTTATGGACCTCCTTGAGTGAGAGGTATAATATTTGTTTCGTTTTCCAGATTGAATGCAATATGGCTTGAGGAGAAGGAGAAAAGGGAGAAAGAAATTGTAAGGGAAATAATTGAAGAAGCAGAGGAATACAAAGCAGAGTACTATAGGAAATGGAAACTTAGATGTGAAAACAACATAGCTGCTAACCGGGAGAAGGAGAAGGTGAGACCTAGAGCTATAAAATTTAAAAGTTTTTCTAATGCATTTTTAGGTTTGTTAACTAGTTTTGGTATAAGTTTGCTGTTCTTGGTGTTTGTTATGCTAAGTAGTGGCTTTAGTTGGAAGAAAAATTAACTGGTCCAGCGCGTTGTGCATCTAGTTACCTTCTCTTCCTAATTGTTGCTTTCAGCTCCTACTGACGGGTATATGAGCATAGAGAAGGGAGGATTAACCTAGTAAAAGTATTATCCAATTTTTAATCACGGTACTTCCTACTTAACAAGGGCAGGCACACTGAAAATTGCAGCTTCTATGTTTATCTGTTTATACTTCACATGATTTAGTGTTAGCGTTAGGTGTAAATTAAATTTTGAAAGTGGATAATTTCCACTTTAACAATTTGGAAAATTTCCCACCTGTGATCAAAATATGCTGAATGTGCTTGTGAACTTTGGTACAAATAATCTAGACTGAGTAGTTGCGGTTTAGGTGAGTTTTATTTGCTAATCTGTACAGAACCAAAATCTTTGGTCATATGATTGTTAAATCTCTAAAAGTAGTTCCCCAGTACAACAAGTTTCTCCATAGTAAATCGACGTATTGCAGTTCATGTGTCATCTTTTCTTTCCCCAGTTATTCCTGGCAAACCAAGAGAAGTTCCATGCTGAAGCTAATAAGACTTATTGGAGAGCAATTGGAGAGCTTATCCCAAAGGAGGTCCCGACGATAGAAAAGAAGGGAAAGAAGGATAAGGAGAAGAAGCCATCCATCAATGTCATCCAAGGACCCAAGCCTGGGAAGCCAACTGAGCTCTCTAGAATGCGTCAAATACTTGTGAAACTCAAACACAACCCACCTGCGCATATGACGCCTTCACCAAAACCATCTTCAGAACCGGGAAAAGATGCAAAGACAGGAGCGAACACTCCTGCTGTCTCTTCCTCTGCAAGACCTCAAGCTACTGCAGCACCTTGAAGAGGACGATGAAACTACTACTATCTTGATCTTGTAAAGTCATCCCTACATAAACTTGAATGTTATGAGTTTGAGAGTAACTCGTATCAGGAAGCGTTTACCTTCATTTCTAGTTGTAGGAGCTAACATGTGTATAAAGGAAAGGTTTCTCTTCTCTGTGACTCTCAGCTGTAAAATTATACTTTGATCTGTAATTTGGAGTTGCATAGTAGCTCATCCTGTTGGATTTTCTTAAATTCCTATCTAGATCTGTATTCTATTTCCGTGCTTGCTTATTTCCGTAACTATTTAAGAGGATATAAGTAGTAAATTTTTGTACTAAAAATATTTCCGTGCTTGCTTATAGCTACTGCTAACTTCATATTACATGAGAAGGTTTAAAAAAACCAATATATTAGTCCATGCCATAAGCCCAAGGGGGATTGCCCAGGTTAGGAGAACAACAATATACAAGTATAAAGATATCTATAAACATCAGTCAACATTATCTAGGAAGCATTTGTGTGACACTCTGAAAACTCTCAAACTTTGTTGATGTTGCAAATGGATTAACAGATTGCACCCCTTTCTTGTCCCGGGAGGATGATTTCTGCAGACTACTATAACTTGATCGTTTCGAGCTATGTGGTCTGTAGACTCCTGGCTCAGTTAACAACTTCTCATTGAGGTTAACTTCTTTAGACAACATCTCAATCACTTGTTTCATGTTAGGTCTTTGGGTAGGTGCTGCTTGTGTGCAAAAAAGAGCTACTTTGATGAAGCGCAGTAATTCAGCTTCTGAATACTCTATTAGCTCTGGATCAACGATATCTAGAAGCCGCCCTTCTTCTCTAAGCTTCCATACCTGCAGAGTTTAAACCTTCAGAATAAAGTAACACTTATAATCTTTTTGAATATTGCTAATGGTTGGCCCATCCACTTTGTATTGACTTACGGACTTGCAAGAGTGGTCTAGCGGTCAATAAAGTAGTTGAAAACCACGGGGGATCAAGGTCCAACTTCCAACAGGGATAAGAAATTTCTTTTCATTTACCTAAACCTTGGTTGGCACAGTTTTGAAGGGGAGCCTTGGAGTAACTAGTAAAGTTGTTGAGGAGGCCACGGGTTCAAGCCGTCGAAACGGCCTCTTGCAGAAATGCAGGGTAAGGCTGAGTACAATAGACCCTTGTGGTCTGGCCCTTCCCCGGACCCCGCACATAGCGGGTGCTTAGTGCACCGAGCTGCACTTTTTGGTTGGCACAGTTTATCCGGTGCATTCAAGCAGGCTGAGACGCCACCTTTATCAAACAAAAAGAGTACACTGTCCAAAGATCCAGAAGACTTATTCAAAGGTTTCAGCTAATGCATGAACTTCAGAATCCATAACTCTTAGCATTTCTTTTTTCTTTTATTTCATAGAGTGAGTAATCATGATTTAACATTTACCATTTTCATATGATCTGTGATTGATCCAACATATATTAGATTTAAGTTAGGAAAAGTGCCATCAGATGCAGATATCTAAGTATTTTTAGCTGACTTCCATTTAAAACATAATTATTACTAATGAATCTTGAAGAACATAAAGCTGAAAGTATACTCCTACCCATTCCACCAGAATCAAGAGATCCACTCCAAATGCTGCTTTACTACTGCTTCTTCCACTTATGATCTCAAGTAGAAGAACTCCAAAACTGTAGACATCGGCCTTCTTTGTGAGTTGTCCAAACAAGGCATACTCGGGAGCAAGATATCCTCTGCAACACATGAGAAGATCAATAAACAATAAGACAGGAAACACGTTATTGAAATGAAATTATATGGAACTCACACTGTTCCTGCCACTTGCGTACTAAGATGAGTCACATTTTCAGGGAAAAGCTTTGCCAGACCAAAATCGCCAATTTTAGGTTGAAGGTTTTCATCAATAAGGACATTACTGGCCTTAATATCTCGATGAACAATTGGTGGTGTTGCTTCCTCATGAAGAAATGCTAAACCAGATGCTGTACCTAAAATTATAGCAACTCTCTTGGGCCAATCCAGGGCAACACGTTTACCTTTAGAACCTGCAATGATAATTTACACATTGGTGGTTAGCCATGCACTTGGATTTACATTCCTTGAGAAAATGAAATACGGCCAAGGTTCTATTGGAAACAGCCTCTCTATCTCCACAAGGTAGGGTTGAGAAAATGAAATACAAAATAATAAATCTCAGATAACTTCCAAGAACATTTTCAACGGCTCAAGTCCAATTGTCAAGATATTATTGCCCCCTTGGGTTTTAAACTCAATAAAGGAATTCTTGTTCCCGCCTTATATGGCTAACTTTCCATCCCATTCCAATGTGGGATTTTCCAAAGGCAAGCTTCATATGGAACCCCTGACAAGTTCAATCGCTATTACATTTTCTGCTAATCAACCATATCTTCATGAATTGTAATGGGAACCCATACGTTCAACTAGTATATGTTCCATTTGGTTCAGAATGAGTTTTCTAACTTTGTGAAAATTACCAAGTAAAGCACAGGCAAGGCTGTTATTCTCCAAGTATTCATATATCAACATTCTATTGCCACTCTCAACACAACAACCAATCAACTGAACAAGATTTGGATGTCGAGTATCTGAAATAATATTAATCTCTGTCAACAATTCCTTGGTCCCTTGTTTTGATTCAGCAGAGAGACATTTAATGGCAACACGACTTCCATCTCTCAAAACTCCCTACATTTATAGAACAAAGTTGCGTAAGTACAGACTTACTCTAATGAAGCATATAACACAGAGTGTAAATTACTTAAAAAATTTGACTTATAAGTATATGATATCAATGTATTTTTAGTTGTAGCAAGTATTAATCCGCCTTATTTTCTAACTTACTAATCCCATTTTTTATAGACAGTTACTTGGAGTTATCTTTTTAGGGTAATTTTGATATTGCAAAAAAATTTACCTTATAAACAACTCCAAAACCGCCACCTCCTATCTTGTTAGATGGATGGAAGTGTCCTGTTGCTGATCTCAATGAGTTATATGAAAAAAGCCTCACATTGTTGGTGGCAAGCTCTAAACAATTTGAACATAAGAAGAATGTGAAATTCTCAAAACTGGATATAAAAAAGCACAATATAATCAAAAGAATTACTCCTAAGACTCTGTAACCATTCAAACCATACAATTTAGTTGCACAAAAGATATAGAAAAACATTTCTTTAGTGTTTTATGTCCTATAGGAAGCATTCAACATCCGAAAATTTAGGCCAATTTTAGCATAGAAATGAAATGGCCATATATTTACAAATTAAAATTCTCAAGCAGTAATAAGATCTAGACTTAGAATCTAAATCCCAACTCAGGCTCGAGCATCGGAAATGGAGAAACACATAGTAGGCAGGGCTACTCCTTTACTAGCACCACACAACTCGAATCTGAAATAGTCAGATCAGTGAGTTTTGGATATCGGATTGGACAAAGGGAAATTCAGAAATTCGGAGAGGACAAGTTTTGAATAAGTTACTTTGTAAACAAACAAACAAACAAACGAAAAGAAAAATTGGATTTCCTTTCTCTGAAGCTCACACATAATAACATGAGAGAAAAAGATGAAGATAGGGAAAAACAGGACAGGATCTACTACAATTCTAGCAGTTTGATGGCTTTTAGAGTTTTCAATTAATTCTAAATAGCAAAAAATCAGGCTGGGAAATTAAGAGAAAAGTAGTTACCATGATGTCACTAAGAAAAATCTTGAAAGACACAAAATAAGAGTTATGACTGTTGTTACCTTGGACTTGAGTCTCTCTATTGTTCTTACATGATTGAAAAGCACCAAAGCAACTCCAATCCATTGCTGAATAATTCAAACTTTCTAGTCCTTCTATATTATCACCTATCTCTGCAAAATTCACCAAATATAGAAAAAGAAAGAGAATAACATAAAAATCAACAATAGGAGATTCACTCAAATGGGACAATATCAAAATTTAGAGACTAATACTGTACCTGATTTCTTGGTGTGTTCGAAAATCCCAAGCCATTAGTGCGAAGAGAGTATAAACAAAAGCATGCTGAAGGCCATATGTAACTTTATAGTAGTTGCTATTATATAGATAAATTTCTATACTTTGTACCTGGTATTAAATGCTAGTATTAATTAAATGTATTTATAGTAACTTGTAAGAGAGGGAGTTAATACAAAATGAGAGGGGTTGGCTAACAAGAAGGTGAATAAAAGAGAGAAGCTGCTATTGATGTTGACTTTGTATTTTCTTTTTACATCTTTTTTTTCTTTAGTATATTTCAAGAAGAGAAATGGATTTTACTTTCTTTTTGTTGACAAGGAGCTTAAATAGTCTACTATATATAACAGTATGTTGAAATCTTTATCAGGATAGAAAAGCAATAGAATTGGTCCACCTAAAAAGAAGGTCATTTTCAACTACCATCTTACTTTCTGTACCTCTTGTGGTGTTAGGTAGAAGGAACACTATTCAACATATTTGGCATTTATTTTTATTTCAAGATTTAAATTTCATTAGTGTAATAGGAGTACTTATTTTATACAAATAATATAAAGTAATAAATTAGTGAAATTAATATCTTAGACTCTTGTATCCAATCAAATAGTATATGATTATATAAAATAAAATGGATGAAATATTTAAATTTAAATAAATAAAAACAAAAGAAGCATTCAAAGCGGAGAACGCGCAGAGGAAGTATTACGTAATTGCTCTATTTTCAGCCATAAGCTTCTTAATCTTTATTTAAAATAAAATAAAAAAGAATCATTCTTTTAGTGGGTTGAGCGACCACATATCTACATATAATATGCATGCCGTGCAAATCAAGATGTAATGTTGGAATAAACCTTTCTTTTTTTCATATACTATACTCTTTTATCAAAATCTCTCACGAAATTAAATCTTGACTTGTGATAGTAATTAAGCCAAAAAAGTCAATACACGCTATAACCTTTTTTTCCCGTAGTGTTAAAATCTTTAGGTTATAAACACAAGTTGTTAAATTAAGTAAAAGAGTTAGGTTCTAACATAAATGTGGTATTGTTTTTATGATTAAAGGACACTTTTTGATCCGAGTTCAATCTTTCAATAACTCCATGAGCAAATGAACAATAATATATAGTAGAAAGGGAACTTCAAGTGACATGAAATTTTATTTTCTTAAGTACATTTTTCTTTTCATGAGGAAAACTTTTTATATATGAGCACAGTAATCAAGAATCTGTACTCGAGCATACCATTAGTCTTTTTCAGAATGAAGAAAGATGTCAAATTCTAAGAGCATGTCTGGATTTTGGAAAGCCACAAGGAAAATGGATTTAAGTGTAATTGTGTGTAATTACACATATTGGTATGTTTATTGGGCCAAATAAATGCTTGGCTAGTGGGAAATTTGATGTAATTAGAAGGGAGTAATTACACTGCAAAATTCTCAAAGAGAAATAAAAAATTGGGTATAATTATAATTACATCATGTAATTACAAGGCAACGTTTCAAATATCCATTTTAATCAGGGAAAACAAATCAAGCAAATCATTTCTACTGCAAACTTCTTCGCAACGTGTTGATCGATTATGTACACTATCTGATAGTTAAATATATTTACAAAAATACTTGGGCCTAGTTTTGTGCTGATTATGTACAGACAAAAATTTGGGAGATTTTCATTACTAGCAGGCTTTTGAAGAGATATCACAGATGATTAGCATGAGCTAATGATTAACAAGTAGTAGCAGTAAGATATACATATAGCAATTTCCTTTCGATTCAAATATGGTATAATATCTATACCAAGCTTGCTTGTAGGCGGATTCAGGATTTAAATCTTATGGGTTCAACTTTTAAAGTTTTTAGCATTGAATCCATTATATTTTTAAACTTATGGGTTCATATCTACTATTTTTTTATAATTTTAATGAATTTTTACACATAAATTTTTACTCTGCGTCAAAAGTTAAGGGTTCAATTAAACCCAGTGATACTACACTACATCCGCCATTGCTTGTAAAGAGAAACGGTGTTAACATATTTAATATATTTCCTAATTTTTCGATGTAAACCATTCTTCCATAACATACTTAAATGGTAATATTTTCCCTATTTTGTCGTCGAAAACCAATCCATTTCATAACAGATATTTTTCTTTCCATACATGGACTCTTTTATAAAACGTAATCCGAGCAAAATTATACTTATTATGTATAAAATATTCTGTTATTATATCTTTATGTAGGATATATTATAGCATTTATATATTTATTTGTTTACCATATATATTGTGTATGTTCAAAGAATAAAAGACATATATTTCGTGAAAAATATAATGTATATGTGGTATATATATACATATATGTATAGTATAATATTCGTACATAATAACGTGACATATTTTGTTTCTATATACATATTATACCAAATTATTAAAAAAAAATAGAAAAAAGTACCAACTATATATTATACCAAGTATAAACCATTAATTATTACACCCATAATTATGTTTCATTTTTTTGGCCCACTCGGTAGTTGAAGCCTATCGTATATTTATACATAAGGAATAAAGATGGTATATATATAAGTATATAAATATTATTTTTTATTACTGTTTTGTACATATAATGTATATTGAGTAATAAATAATATACTCCTCACATATATAAAATATATATATATATATATATATGTCAAATATACATAAAATATATTCAGATTTCATTAAATATACATAAATACATAACACATACACCGAATATGTAGAGAATTTTACGTTTTTAAATAATTATACGTCAAATATATGCTATATACATAAAAAGATATGCATATATTATGCATTTGTCTTTGACAGAAAATGAAAAATGTGATTTTAAGAGCAACTATCAATTCAAAAGGAAATTTTCATAAAAACGGTAAGTGCATAAAGTTTAGATTAATGACGAGAGAGAATTGTGGATAGATTAATATGAATCAAAACTAATTCCTTAAATTGTGGGTTAGTGTTTAACTGTTTATGTTTACGAAATTGAAGGCCATTAAATAAGGTAAATAATCTTTAAAAATGCTAAAATTGTAAATGAATATGTTGTTTTTGGAATAAAGCAAAAATACTATTACTTGTATAAATATTTTTTAATAAGAGTCCTACCGTGTAAAAATCTCCAAAAAGAAATTACTCCTCAAGATCAACCTGTTTCTATTGAAATGATAAACCAGCTCCTAGCAAATTCATCTTTCGGCATTACTAAGTCTCAAACATATTTAATTGTATATTAGAGTACAATTCAACCATTTGTCTTTCCTTCATCTTATGATACAATACTACGTGGCCCGGGCCCGGGCTATTCCAAACATCTATGTAAAAAAGTGGCCCGCTCAAAAAGTATGTCATATTTGTTCATAATTGTTTAGTAGGATAACCAAAAAAGGAAGCAATACCATCAGTTGACAAAATATTAACATAACATGCTTCATATTACGTACATTCATTTGTAGAATAAAGTTGTACAATTACATTCTTAAATATGCTTCCTTGAGAATGAGAAATACAAAAAAAATAAATTATTCATGTTCATGTTGGTGGTCTAACTTAAACATGCTGCAGTTGATTGCACATACTTTCATCTCAGTATCCGCTGAAAGAAAAGAAAATCGAGCTTTAGAATCAGAACATAGAATGTCAAGCTAAATGTCAGATGCTCAATACAAAGCAGAAGAGAGAATGCAACAATTGACAAATTTTGGAAGATTCTTAAGTTGCTTCTTCATAACTGAACAATTATATCTAAAGAGTAGGCTTAATAACCATAAATTAAACATAAATCATTTGGGGCTAAGGAGCTAATTGATACAGAGGATGACATTGAGCTTCATCTATCACTCTTTAATTATAATGTTCTATCTAAACAAAGTTCAAATGTGATAGATTTAAGAGAAAGCTTCGGACAACAGAAAGGAGGTTAAACCGCGTGCTAATTATATCATGCGCTTGAGTCAAATGGCAAAAAAAATAAAAAATAAAATATGCTAATTTACCTTCAAAATGTGTCTTTATAAGTTATGCTAGCATATGTTAGGTGCACCTTTGTCTTCTCCTTGGATTTTCAAGAAAAGCTCTATCAACCTGGAAAAAAAAACAGGAAGAAGTAATGATCTAATGTTGAGTGATATTTACTTCTACTCCCACAAATAACATGAAACTTAATTGATAGACGTGCAGTCAAAACCACAAGAGGAAAGGTAAAAAAATTTAGCGGGGCTTTTCTCCTTCTCCAACCCAGCAAAGTTAAAATGTTAGTTAAGAATAATTAGTTGGATTTTCTGCTATACCCGAGTAAAGAAGTCAAATTTATATTTATGTTGTAGTTTGGTCAACAGATTAATGCATTTATTGAAGCCGTGTTCCAAAGGTTTTTATCATACCTTTTCATCATACTTTTTTTCTTGATAAGATTTCTAGTGCAATATAGGCCGGATTTCCTATTGCAGATTTGGGATGGAAATGCAAAGCTGCATAATAAACAAGGAAATACACTGGCCAGAAACTGAACTGAGAAAGAAACCAATCCCAACATAGATCATAGTTCTGGTTCATTGCCTTTTGCTGTTTTATACAGTAAGTAATTTTATTGACAATGGGAAAAGCTCCCATATACAAGAGGTACACTAAAGAGTACAGAACCTACATCAAACATGATTCTTTACGAAAGACATCCGGTCAGCAATACAAGTAGAAATCTCAAGGGTGTGCACCAAAAAGCTAGTTCATTGCTTTAGATTTTCCATTTATATATTTTCAGACATGGTGTAAAGCTCCCATCTAACAGAGTATTTTAGAGCTTAAATCAACACGAAACATTTGATGGAATTCAAGAAAATAATCACACCACAAGCTCGTAATCTAAGAGTAAACTAATGTTTCTACAAATAAACCAATTCAAAACAAATAGAGATCTCTGTAGTCCTTATACCATTGAGTGACAATAATTGATTCCTGATATAAGTTATTGGAAGAAAAACCTTGCATGAAGAGAAATAATCACGATAGGACAAATACATCAGTAACAATACATTCCAGGATAAGGAAGTGAAAGAAATAGCTAGTAAAATTTTGAGATGCCAGCTACTATGCAATAGAATGAAACTGAAAGCAGCTAATTATTGCTAGGTTTTTCTCAAGAAGAGGAAATAATTTGGTGGCTATGTGTTACATGGCAATCTTTGCAGCACTTCCAATTACACACACACAAAAAAAAAAAAAAAAAAAAAAAAAAAAAAAAAAAAAAAAAAAAAAAAAAAAAAAAAAAAAAAAGAGCAGAATTCTAGAATTTTATGTTACCTCATCTTTAGTGTCTAAGTTCCAACCTATTCACTGCAACCCCTTCTACTACATGCTTTTCATGCTGCCTTAGCTGACGAGCATTGGTGATCATGGAAAGAGTTATAGTTGGTAATAAGTTTCTTTTCTGCTTGTCTGTAGCTCCAACTCCACTTTCTACGTATTAAATAACCTAATCAAGCACAAAACAGTCTAAATATAAAAAGCATCTCCTAATAGAAGAATTATGAGTACCAGTATACTAAGGAGGTACTGGATCAGTTGAAAACCTATTTATTTTGAATGTGCACTTGTCGCAACCACTTTTAATATCAGCAAGACCATTCTTGAGATTCTTTTTCTTATACCGCAGATAAATTTTATGTGACTAAACAGTAAACACTAAGTTACCTACATGTATATATCAATTTATCCTAATGGGGTATGTCAGTTAACAGATTAAGTTATATACAGAGTTTAACTTTTGAGTATCAAATGCACCCAGCTGTCTTACAATCATGTCATAGACAAACAACAATTAAAACGATATATAAATCCATCAATAACTCTTTAGCTTTGAAGTAAGTAGTGAATGCATCATTTGAAAGATATTAACTGAAATTTTCTCATTTTCATTCATAGACATGTACAGATCTTCAGAATTGTCAGTTATTCTCAATTAGGTGCTCCAGGAAAAAAATGAGAAATACAATTTTATACAGAACTTTCAGATTAGCAGATATGGTACATAAACATTGGGGACTATTTGCTCCGCATATACTTGCACTCTTGTAGAGAATGAATACAGAAAAAGATCAAATTTCATGTCTCAAATGACATGGACTGTAAGAGCAATGCAAGTTTATAGTTTAACATGCTTGGAATCCCGGGATTTTGAAAATTCAAGGAAATGTAATATCAGTACAATAAACCTTGTGTTAGTTTCACCTCTGCTATTATTTTTTTACATTGAAAACAAGGAATCTGCATCAGGTTCTATTTAACATTTTGTGGATACTACAAACAAAGAACAAGTAATGTGGATCAACTTCTTCCCATAACTTAAAACAAAAGGGGTTAAATGGCAGTAAAAACCCCATTTCTAATCATTAAAAGTGTACTACGTTCTTGATTAATACAGTAGTCTCCTCATATACCAAACAAAGAGCTATTTAAATTATGATTGCAATCAGCCATAGAATGAAAAATATCATCAACACTAAGAAGTCACAACATAACTAAAAATACATATACAACATCATTCCGCATAGAAATTTTGTTATTCCAAGTGATAGTACAATACTGTATGGGACTCTAAATAAGTACAACTATAGATCTGTTGTATAACATAAATATTTCATGAGCATTCACCCAACAAATCAAAAAGGCAAGTAACTTTATCCTTTTCCTAATCAAGTATTACAATAGCCAACCTCCCTTATGTACCTCATCCTTTCCCTTCGGAAGCTACCATAGCTTATAAGCAGTAACGAAATAAGGTAGTAGATTTTCCTCTACCATTGTTGTCTTAGGCAAAAAGAGTAAGAGAGATGACGCATAGAAGGCTTGAAAATAAAATTTTAGTATTTCACACAGATGCCCCACACTCTGGATTTCTTTCGACATTCTAATGATGCCAAGTGAATGTAGAAATTTGGAAGTTCTAAAAGATGGATCTCTTTCCTTTGTTCCAAGTTGGCTGATTCCTTGGTGTTCTAGATATGGTTTATTTAAGACCTGTAGTGTAATTTGGAAAATATTTGAAGCTGGTAAAGTGAGAGTCCGTAGTTGTCAACACTCAAAATCCAACTAGTCATGATCGCACCTAACTCAACCCGTTAGGTAAGCCAATTACCAACTATCCAATTTCAATAATAATTATTAAAGCAATTTAAGTGAATAAAGGTCTTAATTTTGTACAATCCCCAAGAACTGGTAGTACAAATCATGGGCTTCTAAGTCCAATTGTACATATGAAGGAAACACTTCTCGTTATGTTCAAATCGTCTTAACACATCCCGCGGTCACATCATACCCATCATACCGCCATTTCACCGCTCATCGAGCCACAAATTTCACTGTAGGGTCATCACCGGGCATATAAGTCCAATTGTACGAGTTACAACTGAAGCTACCGAGCCTAAGCTGCGGTCTAAACCTAGCCTCAAGTCCTCCAGACTGGCTCATCACCAAAACATAGAATACTCATCTCGAACTTCGTTTATGGAATCACAAGCCGGCGATACACAGCTGATACCGAGCGCTCATGTGCGCATACGAATACGTGAAAGGAATTCAAAGAGTTTATGTCTCAAGCTGAATCAATCTCGCACGATAAGGAAAGAAAAATGGGAAGTATATATCCTAAATGCCCTGTAGCCTCTCGAAGATAAGTATGGACGTCATCATACCGATCCGCAAGACTCTACTAGACATTTGCTCATGACTTGTAGAACCTATGAACCTAGAGCTCAGTACAACCGACCCCATGTACTGAGTAAGTAACAAACCTAGCCTTAGGTTGAAAGTAGTGACGAGCTTGTACCAAGGTCAGAGTCCAACTTCCATAACCAACAATAGTTCATAACAATATTAAACAAATAATACCAGAAGTAACTCAAAGAATAAATGCTCAACTAAATCATGACTTCTGAAAATAGTTCTGCCTTTCAAGTACATCAATGAAAACCCAAATCGTTTACCGAAATTACCAAAAATATGAATAAGTTTGAAAACAATAATTTTTTTCAAAATCCTTTCAATAATAAATAAAATATCTCATTTTCTTTCCAGATAACCAGTGTAAAACAAATGCATCACTATGCCCATCTGTCAACATGTGTGAGAAATCATGAATAATGTGATACCGTACAGCATGAGGAAAACACATCTCTATGCATATATGTCATGTGTGCATGTCAATGCAATGTATCTCAGAGATTGTACTCATGTACTCACACTCTCAGAGTACTCAAACTCATTGTCTCGTATTCTCTCTCACTATGCCCAGCACACTCAATCACTCAGCTCTATACAATACTTGCTGCGGCGTGCAGCCCGATCCCTGTTTATAGTCGATTGCGCTCACTAGGGGTGTGTACAGACTCATGAGGGGCTCCTACAGCCCAAGCGCTATAAGCACGGACAACTCACGTGCTGCACGGACAACTCACGTGCCATAATATAAATATCTGGATCCGCACGGCCAACTCACGTGCTGCACGGCCAACTCACGTGCAATAATAAGCCAATAAGGCATGCTGCAGGTGGGCAGCCCCGATCAATATAATAGTAATAATATATATAAAGCCAACATGGCCTACTGCGGCGTGCAGCCCGATCCCAAAAATATCTTCACAATCAGGCCCTCGGCTTCCCTCAGTCATCAATCTCTCCAGTCTCTCTCTCATGGGCTCACAATGTCATGAGAATAGCCCAAAATGATAATATGATATATCAATAAATAACAACAGAGACTGAGATATGATATGTAATGAAATGAATATGACTGAGTATGAATTTTCAATTTAAAATAAATATTTCACAACAATATGACCTCTGTGGGTCTCAATAATACTAGCACATAACCTCAACATGATTTTTAATATGCTTATGTCACAATTTCTATAGTGCACGCCCACGCCTGTCACCTAGCATGTGCGTCACCTCCCAACAATTCACATAATACATATATTCAGGGTTCATACCCTCAGCTCCAAGATTAGAAGAGTTACTTACCTCGAACAAGCCAAATCCAATGTCGAGCAAGCTAAGCAATGCTCCAGAAATTCCATTCTGCGCGTATCAACTTTCAAACGGCTCGAATCTAGTCACAATTAATTTGATTCAGTTCACAAAAATTATAGGAATTAATTCCATATCAAAATATTAATATTTTCCAAAAATCCGAAATTACACCCCAAAAATCACCTGTGGGTCCCACGTCTCGGAATCCGATAAAACTCACAAAATCCGAACCCCCATTCAACCACGAGTCCAACCATACCAAAATTACTCAAATCCGACCACAACTCGGCCTTCAAATCCTCAATTTAAACTAAGAAGGTTTTCAAACTTTTCCAACTTAATTCACCAATTAAATGATAAAAACAACCATGAATTCGGGTAATTTAACCAATATTAAGTTAAGAACACTTACCCCGTTGTTTCCCTTAAAGAACTCCCGAAAATCACCTCTTCCCGAGCTCAAATCCGTTAAAAACTGAAAATAGAACTTAAACTCTCTGTCCAGACCTCTCTTCTTCGCGAACGCGACAGGTCCCTCGCGTTCGCGAAGCACAACTCGACAGCCCACAAATTTAACCTTTCGCGAACGCGACCACGGCTTCGCGAACGCGAAGCTTTACCAGCTCAGGCCTTCGTGAGCGCGAACGCCACCTCGCGAACGCGTAGAACAAGGACCCGGGGGTCCCCAATAGCCTCACTCCTCTTCGCGAACGCGACACCTCTCACGCGTTCGCGATGCACGCACAAACCATACCTTCACGTTCGCATCCTCCCCTTCTCGGACGCGAAGAACAAAACCTCACACTCAGAAAACACTCTTCACGAACGCGAGGGCCCACTTGCGAACGCGAAAGAGAAAATCAGAAAAAATGCAGCAACAGATATCAGCAATCTCACCAAGGCCAAAAATGATCTGTTAACCATCCAAAACTCACCCGAGCCCCTCGGGACCTCAACCAAATATACCAACAAGTCCTAAAACATCATACGGACTTAGTCGAACCCTCAAATCACCTCAAACAACGCTAAAACCATGAATTACACCCCAATTCAAGCCTAATGAACTTTGAAATTTCTAATTTCTACAAACGACTCCGGAACCTATCAATTCACGTCCGATTGGCCTCAAATTTTGCACACAAGTCATAATTGACATAACGGAGGTATTCAAATTTTCAGAATCGGATTCCGACCCCGACATCAAAAAGTCAATCCCCCGGTCAAACTTCCCAAAAATTCAACTTTCGGCATTTCAAGCCTAATTCCACTACGGACCTCCAAATAATTTTCCGGACACGCTCCTAAGTCCAAAATCACCATACGGAGCTATTTGAATCATAAGAATTAAATTCCGAGTTCGTTTACACATCAGTCGACATCCGGTCACTATTTTAACTTAAGTTTTAAACCTTGGAACTAAGTGTTCAAATTCATTCCAAAACCTCACCGGACCCGAACCAATTGCCCCGGCAAGTCACACAACTGTAAAGTACAATTTGAACAGTAAATGGGAAAACGGGATTGTAATACTCAAAACGACCGGTCGGGTCGTTACATTCTCCCCCACTTAAAC